GAGATCATCCAGCCCCAACCCCCTGCCCTGGGCAGGGACACCTCCCACCAGAGCAGGTTGCTCAAGGCTTTAGCCAACCTGGCCCTGAACACTGTCAGGGTTGGGGCAGCCACAGCCTCCCTGAGCAACCTGTGAGACTGTCTCCCCAGCCTCACAGGAAAAGATGTCCTAATATCTAATCTAAATTTCCCCTTTCAATTTATCCCCATTACTCCTTGTTCTGCCGTGTTTTGCTGGATGTGTTTGGAATATATTTTCAGTTCCTCAGTGCACCTCTAATTGAATCAGATAAACACCATGAAGGGATATTTGGGCAACACTGAGCAGTGGTTGTGTGATTACAGCAAATCTTTCAGCTCCTCCGAGCTCAATTCCCCCAGAAGCCCAAAAGCATGATGTGTCTGCCACCTGGGGGCTTTCCTGTGCCTCAGGCATTTGTCAAATTCAAGGATTCATAATGGCTTTCCATTTGTAATTTAGAGCTTCACCTCTTCTAGCCAAAGTGGTTATAAACTAGTAACAACACTTGTGGATACTACAGCTGTTGTCCAATAACCCTGTTATGGAAAACAGTGCTTCTAGATGCCATGAGATACTGTCCAGGAGTGCACCACAGTGGGAAATACACCTACCACAATGTTAGACATTGATATTCTGAAAGCTTCCAAAGCTGAATGAAGTGGCAGACACTGCGGGAAAAGTCAGAAGGACACACAGAATCATGGAATCCCAGAATGTTTTGGGTTGGAAGGAAAATCCAGCCCCAACCCCCTGCCCTGGGCAGGGACACCTCCCACCAGAGCAGGTTGATCACAGGTTTAACCAACCTGGAATGAACACTGCCAGGGTTGGGGCAGCCACAGCCTCCCTGGGCAACCTGGGACAGTGTCTCACCACGCTCACAGCAAGAACTTCCTAATATGTAATCTAAATTTCCCTCTTTCCATTTCTCCCCATTCCTCCTTGACCTGTCCCTGCAGTTCCTAACCCAGAGTCCCTCAGCAGCTTCCCTGGAGCCCCTTCAGACAGCAGGTCCTTTCCAACTCAAACCAGCCTGTGATGTCCTCACACAAATCAGGTCTCCAACACAAAATCACTTGTCTTTCTGCTCAACCACAACCACAAAACAAGTGAAAGGAAAAACAAACAATAAAAGTAGCATCAAACAAAGCACTAAAGCTACTCAGGTGCCTAAAATGAACTGGCAATGAGAGGAATATTCAAAATAAGGGTTTCTGTCAACTTCTATTTACGGTATAGAAACATATAACCTCCACACACTTAGAAAGACCTTTAGCTTTTTTCCTGTTAAGCAAAAGCTCTGAAAACAAAGCACTTACATAAATTAATCATAAGCACTTTGAAAACTATTGTGGCTAAAAGCAGGGAGGAAGAGCAGGGATGAGTTGTGTGCTCATGGAACTGTGAGTGCATAAACTGCCTTTTCCCAAAGTACAAAAACTTGTACACAGGCAAAGTTCAGGAGACAAGTGAATAAGCATCACTGGTCTGTCACCTGTGTCAGGACTTCCTGAGCTCTCCACACTGTCACTTGTCTCAGTGTTTGCTCACCTGGCAGAAGATGAAACTCATGGAAGGTGACAAAGCCTCAGGCCCATCAGAGCTCCAGCTGTCTGCCAGGGGAAGCAATGGAGAGGAGAAAAAACAGTTCTGGCCAACTTCTCCAACCCTGCAGCCTCCAACAAAACCTGAAATGTGCAACTCTCAATGACCACTAACCCAAAATTCAATGCATTATGGCACTGTGAGATAGGCACACGCCACGGAAGGAGCATCCTTGGCACAAGGCTAAGCCAGAGGCTGCTAAAATGTGAAGAGACAGAGTGAGGGCAAAAAAGTTAAAATGATCAGGACAAGGAGAGAATGTTGTCGATGCAGTGGTTAAATAGAGAACAGTAAGTGTTGAACAAGGTCCTGCAAATATTTACATCGAAATATTACCTCTGACTGGAAATGAGGCAGGTCAGAATTGGAAATTTGATTGACTCAACACAGCAAACATGAGCCAGTGAGGTTTTTCTCCCTATCTATGCTGTTCAGAGGACCCTGAGGTCAAAACAACACTGTGAGCACAGATCCAGCCCTTACAAATACAAGTTCAGCAGCTTTACACATAGCCTTGTCCATCACCCCAAATCACTGGGCAGCAATCCTGGTGTGAATTTTCTTGTTTAGCATCCTCTAGATCTCCTTTCCACAACCTGGACTGACCAGTTTGGGTATTGCTGGCACAGAGCTGTGTCAGAGGACATGTTCTGAAGAGTTAATGGGACAGGGAAAGGAACATCATGCAAAACGTGAGGGTGCAAATGTGTAGGGCTGAACAGTTACCAGTGTCCATGGACACAACAGCCTCAAACAGGAGAAGAGAGACCCCAACCTGTGAGAGATTCCACCTGGAATACTGATAGAGTTCTGGTGTCCTCAACATAAGGACATAGAACTGATGGAGCAAGTCCAGAGGAGGCCACAAAGATGATGAGAGCCCTGGAACATCTCCTCTGTGAAAACAGGCTGAGAGAGTTGGGCTGTTGAGCCTGGAGAAGAGAAGGTTGTGTGGAGACCTCAGAGCACCTGCCAGGAGCTGAAGGGGCTCCAGGGAAGCTGCAGAGGAACTCTGGGTTAGGAACTGCAGGGACAGGATAAGGAGGAATGGGGAGAAATTGAAAGAGGGAAATTTAGATTAGGTATCAGGAAGAAGTTTCTGCTGAGAGGGTGGTGAGACACTGTCCCAGGTTGCCCAGGGAGGCTGTGGCTGCCCCAACCCTGGCAGTGTTCACAGCCAGGTTGGCTAAAGCCTTGAGCAACCTGCTCTGGTGGGAGGTGTCCCTGCCCAGGGCAGGGGGTTGGGGCTGGATCATCTCTAAGCTCCATTCCAACCCCTTCACATACTATGATACTATGAATATTTCCTTCACTGCAAATCAACAATGAGAAAAAACCAGCACAAAATGAGACGTGTCAGGTAACTTGTGTCACAGGTGGGGACACAGAATTACAGCCTGACAGCTCTGAGACACACCTTGAGGTTACAGACAGCACAGAGTGGCGTCACTGAGTGACTTCCACCACCCTCCTGGCTCCAGGGGGTGGAAGCACCACATGCTGAGCTGGGAGCAGGCACTGCTGCCTGAGCAACACTGATGGGAACAGACAGTGCTCCCGAACAGAAGGCAGAGAGTGAACTGCTGGCCAAGGTGGAGAGAAGGAAAAAACATCCACATATGAGGGGAAAAAAGACTTAAGAAGTGAAAAATGAAAAAAAATCAAAGCTGAGAGGGCTGGGGGGTTCAGAAGAGAAGACTTCAGCAAAACCTTAGAGCCCCTTCCAGTGCCTAAAGGAACTTTAGAGACTTGTTACACAGGCAGACAGTGACAGGACAAAGGGAAATAGCTTCCCATTGGCAGGGACAGATCGGATATTGGGAAGAAATTCCTCCCTGTGAGGTGATGAGGCACTGGCACAGGTTGCCCAGAGCAGCTATGACTGCTCCATCCCTGGGAATGTTCCAGGCCAGGCTGGATGGGGCTTGGAGCAATCTGGGCAGGTGGAAGGTGTCCCATGGAAGGGAGTTGGAAGTAGATGGTCTTTAAGGTCTCTCCCAACCCAAAGCACTCTGGGATTCCACAAATCTATGAAAATTAACAGTGCACAAGGAAGTAGCCAAACAGAGCAAGAAGCACAGAGACACTACAGACAAAAACGTTGGTGAAACCTATGGTTTTTTGGCTTGAAAATCAAGTTTGGCACAAAATACTGCCTTTGCATGAAATGGGGTTTGATGAAGCTTTTAAAAGACACAGTATTTATCCTTGTCCCCTGTTTGCAGGCACACCTGGCTCACAGGGAATTTATTCCCTACCCATTTCTGCATGTTGCATAAGTGACAGCTAATCCAGAATCAATTTCCCACAACCAGTCAGATATTACAGTGCTTTAAACTCCAAGGAACCCACTGGGATGAACATCCCTCAGCCCCAAACACCAGGTGGATCTGACTGACCTGCAGCACAGCTACATCTAGCCCAACTCTCCCACTGTTGGCAGGCCAGGAGCAGGGAGCACATGGCTCTTCTAGGCTGGAGTCCTGTCCAGGATCCAACAAGAGGGAAAATTGCCACTGGTGGCACATCAGAGTCAGTAATTTAACCAAGCCTGACCCTCCAGAGCAGTCCTGATAGTCAGATATTTGTCCTATCCAGGCTCTGCTGCAGAAGGCAATTTCCCCTCCAGCTCAGTTTGCCAATGAAGCAATTAAGAAAATCTGAAAATCACAGGCAAAATACAATTTCCAGACACTCGTGTACTGACACAAGGCAGGTCAAGCTTCTGTGAGGTAAAACTTCACAAACCACCTAATCAGATTGCCCTGTTTGGCTGCTAATAGAGCAACATCTAACCTCATGAACTCAGCAAGCCTGGAGGGAGTTGGGGAAGGAGAACTGCAGGTACTTCACTCCCTCATTTAAAAAGCAAACATGTCTAATAAGGTAATCCAGTTGCCTGCTTGCAGTTCCTTCTGTAAGCAGGAGAACAGCACCTCAGTGTTTGTTTTTCTGCAGCTCTGCTCCCTCTGATGGCAGCTTTGCTTTCAGGTTGAGGTTTTATTTCTATAGACTTAGGCAGCATTTTGCTCCAACCTTGCTCTTTCACAATGCTGCATGCTTCAAAGAGCATGTTTCCACAAGAAGTTCCCTTCATGCTCAGAAGTCTTGCTGAAAAAAGAGGTTAATGCAGACAGAAATCGTTGTGACATTCTGGACCTTCTAATTGGTGACGAGACCTGCTTTGGGGCACACATTAATAGGGCAGAACACTGTGCATGCTCCACCTCTCCTCCACAAACTGCCAGAGGAGGGAGAGCATTTTAGCCTTGTTCAAAGCACTGTGCAATCCATTAAAAAAGCTGAAACTCAGGGAATGTAAATGGGGAAATGGAACAGAAGAGTGTTGAGAAGATACAACCAAGGGGGTTTACCATAGCACTGAGTGTCTCCTCCCAGTCTGGCCTCTCCCTGGGGTGGATGCTCCTCTGGAGTTCTGGCACAAAGTCATCTTCTTCTGCATGGAGAGAGGACTTCATCATTCTGGAAAGGAGGACAGAAGGTTGGATACTCAGTGACAAGCTCACTCCACCCTGTTAATGGAGCTGTTATGGCTCATAAAACAATACAAAATGCTTTTATGCATCCCAAAATCTCAGAGACTTCTGAGCTTCTCTTCCTCATCATACAAGCAGGACAGGAGTGTAAAGCTGGTGGAGTGAAACCTGCACTTCCTAACCAATCAATGGATAATTTTGTTTAATCACTGCACAATTTGCAAGTCTCACAACACAGGGAAACGCAGAGGAGTGACTTGCAGTCCATCACAGGAAAAAAGGTTTCTACTGCCCAGACAAACAGGAAGGAAACACACACATTGGATTCCTTAGTCATCACTGGAGGTTTTGCCTGGAATGGAAATAGCATTTTCCAGATCTTAGTCTAAATTGAAATCCAAAGGCTGAGCCATCAGCTCCCAGTCCTTCCTGATCCTCTCTGAAGGATGAGCACCTCCAACCACTCAGCTATGCCTGGATCTGCCCAAATCAGCTTCATGGGATCAAGGGAAACTTCTTCAGGTAAGGAATCATCTTTCCAACACCCTGTGAAGGATATTTCAAGTCTGCACAGAGATCACAGGCTCAAAACGAAAGTGGAGAAAGAATTCATAAAAGCTCCTCGGCCCATCCATAGCACTTTGTACACAGAAATATATAGATACTATATATTATTATTACACATTATGTATTCATAGAATCATAGAATCAAC